GAAGACGAAGACGTCCACTTGGAAAGACGAGGAGGTTCCAGATGTTTTGGTGATGAGGGCCGACGCCGTGTGGACGAGCTGTAAACAACAACACTGATCTTTACACAGTTTAGACGCCATGTCCCGCCTCAAAAAACACACCTGTAGTGTAACACCTCAAATAAACGAGCATCACATTTTAACAGGCATCTGAATTGTCCAGGTTTCAAGAACGACAGCTGACGGGACTCATGACTTGATGCTGCCAGGCTCCATCCACATGACGAGTTCCTGAGCTCGTCTCTGCTGTAGATACTCCACATTACTGCCGAGTTTTAGAGACGTTAAAACAGAGAAGTTTGCTGCTGCTCTCAGTTAAGTTTGAAAACTCTGGGTCTGTGTTTTAGTCTGGACAAACGTAGATGTTTGGAAATTATGATGTCAACACTCACAACCTCTTGCTGATTGGCTCTCAGCGGTCCTGACGTAGTCTTCATAGATCGTATGCAGGAGCCTCTGTCTTTGCCACCAGCTGCTGTTTAGTTCTGTATTTAACAGACAAAATATCATTGAACAATCTGTCTACACCAGCAGGTGCTCTGAGCACACGTGTGGGGAGCAGGGGGAGTTGGCGTGTAGTTCCCACGACGACAACAGGCATGCTATCCGGTTGTTCGGATTTAGCTTCTTTCCCGATAAAAAAAGTTGGCCTTGCCACGCAGTTACAGCAGATGATAGATGGCTTAACATATTTGACCTACAGATGCAGCTATTCCGCCTCATTGCGATGCGGCCTTATTTTAACCTACTGTCTATGCATGCGGAATATTTATTTATTTATTTATTTTCGGGGGGGCCGTTGTTGTCAAGGCGGCCGCCTTAACTATAAAGCGCTGCGGGAAACCCTGGTTTTCAGTATGTTTCAGTATGGACAGAGAACTGATCAGAGACGAAACGCTTCTGTGGACAGGATTGTTTTACTTTGAAAATGAAAACATTGTACTGTGTACTTATTTATTTCATAGTTAATATCTGCTCACTTCTGTCGTGGTTGTTCCTGTCGTGTAAAGACAAACCCCGGGAAAATAGGCAGATCCAATTTTCCTGGACTTCCTGTCTGGAAATGGATCAGAGACATTTTTAGTTAAACTCCTGAGAATTTCCAGACATTTTGTGTCTGAAGCAGCAGATTGTCGAGGGGCGGAGCCTGTAGAGCAGCAGGAGGCGGGACATGGCGTCTAAACTGTGTAAAGATCAGTGTTGTTGTTTACAGCTCGTCCACACGGCGTCGGCCCTCATCACCAAAACATCTGGAACCTCCTCGTCTTTCCAAGTGGACGTCTTCGTCTTCTACGTGTACGGCTCCTCTTCTTCATCCTGAGACATTTGTGTTCTTCAGTTTCACGTCACGTGTTAGAAACCTCAGAGACACGCCCATTCGCTCACTGAGAAGGTTCCAGATGTTTTCTCACATGAACTCACTCTGACATCTTACAGATGTTTTACTAGAGGCTGCAGGAGACATTTGTTCTCACATGAGGAACACGTCAGGAACACGTCAGGAACACGTCAGGAACATGTCAGGAACACGTCTGTGGTTCAGTTCATGTCTGAAAACTGCTTTAGAAGTTAAACGTCTGCTCCATCATTCTGGTCTCTGGTTTAAGTTCACTTCAAGGGATGTTTTCGTAAAGTTGTTGTTTTCTGTGTTGATTCATAATCCAAAGCATAATTCAGGTCGTTTTCTCTCCGAGTCGTTTTCTCTTTGAGTCGTTTTCTCTCCGGGTCGTTTTCTCTCCGAGTCGTTTTCTCTCCGGGTCGTTTTCTCTCCGAGTCGTTTTCTCTCTGAGTCATTTTTTCTCCGAGTCGTTTTTTCTCCGAGTCGTTTTCTCTCTGAGTCATTTTCTCTCCGGGTCGTTTTCTCTCCAGGTCGTTTTCTCCGAGTCGTTTTCTCTCCGGGTCGTTTTCTCTCCGGGTCGTTTTCTCTCCGGGTCGTTTTCTCTCCGAGTCGTTTTTTCTCCGAGTCGTTTTCTCTCCGAGTCGTGTTTTCTCCGAGTCGTTTTCTCTCCGGGTCGTTTTCTCTCCGGGTCGTTTTCTCTCCGAGTCGTTTTCTCTGAGTCGTTTTCTCTCTGAGTCGTTTTCTCTCCGAGTCGTTTTCTCTCCGGGTCGTTTTCTCTCCGAGTCGTTTTCTCT